AATTCTTATTCATTGTGTGTATTTTTAGAAAACATCCCAGACCACCTGTCATGGTGGTTTATGCCTGTAATCCCAGCACTCTGGGAGGCTGAGGCAGGAAGATCACAAGTTTGTGACCAGCCTGGGCAAATTTTAAAAGAGCTCGGGTTGTAGCTTAGTGGGAAGGCCCTGGGTTTAATCTCCACTATCACAAAATTAAAACAAAACGAAATGAAGTGAAAAAAGAAAGGAAAACATACAAGACCCAGCTGGGCATCTTCTTCCTTCTTATTTAAATCCCTCGCTTGGACAGTTCTGTGAATCAAGAGGAAATCACTCTGCTCTACCACATTTCTGAGGTGTCCATTGTCTCCTCCTCCTTCCTGTCCCCTGGTTATTTCCTTCTCATCCTTTCAGCTGTGATACACGCTTAACATGATACTTATGAAGATGATTTGCTCAGTGTGAGGAAGGGGCACGCCTGGGAACTGTGTCAATTTTGCAATTCTACAGAGGAAAATTTGGCAAAATTTTCCTGCTTCCAAAGGCAAACACCTCATGACCCCCAAGTCTCACCCTATAACCATATCTGTACATATATAAAATGACATATGTACAGATATTTATTAAATCAGAATTTGTATAAAAAACCTGAAAGCAACTTAACTGCCACTCATTAGGAGACTACTTAAATAACCTATGGTCGCTAGATGTAGCTTAAGGAAAAAAGAAAGGAATCAAAGTTCCTTTAATTTCGCTTGTGGAAGTGAAAGTGTCTTTAGAGACATTTTTTTCTTGACACAACACCTGAACATTCTTACCAGGTACACTGGGACCTGATTCACACATACACCTGGTAGTGATCACCTTAGGGTAATTAGCACACTCAATGCCTCAAAGTTTTATCATTTTTTGTGTTGAACTCATTAAACATCCTCTCTTCTATAGAGTTATATAATCCATTGTTATATAAAACTTATTCCATGAAAAAAGCAAAATAAATTATAGCATACATATTATCTCACATATAGTTACATTCACCACATTAGACCCAAACTGCACAGGATGGGCCTATGAAAGGAGGCAGGGTAGCTGTCTACTGGAGCTGGGGGGTGACTTTAAATGTTTTTGTGTAATTTATTGTTAAATCGCGCAAACATGATGCCCCTCAAAAAACAAACTTTGCCATGTTTATGTGCCAGAGAATAATTTTTGAAGAGTTTTTGAGTTACTGCACTTACAGTATGCTCACAACTAAAGCCTGCATGTGGCCTGTGTACCTGTGGCTTTTCATAGCAGACTCCGTCACTGGTGAGAGCTATGAGAGCACTTATAGGTACCACATTCTTTACTATTTCAGACCCATCAAAGGGGTGCTATCTTTTAATGGTCCATGGGAAAAGAATATTAGTTGACTGACTGGCGGTGATTCCAATCAGCGCTAAGACACGGTTATCTAAAAAATGTGGAATTCAAACGTAGGTTATGCAACTGGAGAAGTGAGCCTAGTGAAAATCAGTAGTTCTGTTTGTCGTGTACTGATTCATTTATGTTTGCTCTGATTGCTGCTCATCAGGGAAAGGAACACTGTCTTAAGTCAAGGTCCCAAGGAGGAGACTCTGAAACGAGGACCTGTGTGAACATGTTTGGTAGCGGAAGCACTCAGAGGAAAAGTAGTGAGGGAGATTTTTGCTCGCAGGACAAGAAAGCAAGCGAGAGTGACAAATTCTGCTTCTCCTGGTCCTCGGGAAGCTCTGGGGTGAATGCTACACTTCCACACTATCCAGAACAGACACTGGGCCTCTGGCTTCCCATCTGTGACTCAAGGCCCAACAGCCACGGACAGGGGCACAAAATGCCCAGACACTCTGGTTCTCTACCTGCCTGCCAGACCTCCCAGGAGCACAAGGACAGCCCTCTAAGAAACACAGCAGGCATGGCACACCTAAAGCTGAGGAGGAGAAGCACGACATTTAAAAAGGGATTCACAAATGGCAGCACAGGACTAATCGAGAACAAGAGGATTTATCTAGAACACTATGATAGTCTCAGGGAGACATGAATATGGTCTTCAAATAACCTCTTGTAGAAAGAGGTTAAAGGTATTCTGACTGAAACTGCTGGATGGAAGGAAACTCAGGAAGGCTAGAGCTTTCCCAAGCATTTCAACTGAGCCCCATAAATGCACTGACCCACGCCAGGTGGCGGGAGTACTGTGTGTAGATCTGCCTCGGCGGTGACGGGGCTATACCCCGATAAACCTTGTGAGCCGAAAGCACCCTGAGAAGGAAGCACATATAATACATCTGCGGGAAGAAGATGGAGAAAAAAACTTTCATTTTTTTTGGTGCTCTCCTTCCAGTGGCTTTTAAAAACTTTGTAAACTTGGGAGCCTGTAAACATAAATGTTTTAGGCACAGAGAAAGAGCTTTTAAGGTAGGACCAGAGGGACTGCAGCAAAATATAAGTAAAGAAAATTTCCCTCAGTCTGATCAAAGATGCCAAACACCACTAGTCTTAGGAGACCCGACCTTTAAGAATTACACAAATGGGTCCCTCAGAGATTAAGAGAGACAGGGACAACCATTTTCTACTTCTAATGGTCCATGTCCAATCCTTCAAACTGAGGCTCTATCAATTTTTTTTTCTAGAGAGCAGAAAATCCTCCCTAGTTGGAGCTATTTAAAGACTCTGGCCTTGCACTGAAACTGCAGATTTGGCAATAGCAGGTTTCAGCTGGATTTTCTGGGCACGAAGTAATGCAGCAGCAAATTTACTCCTTTTAATATAATGGCAACAGTCCTTGGAAGGAATGGGAATGACTTTAGGCAGTGCCAAATTTTAAATGAAAAAATCTAACTATAGCTACCCCTTTAGCCCTCTGGGTGCACTCCAGAGGACTGTGTAGGAAGCCAGGGTTAAGGGTGACCTCAACCTGGTAGCTTTGGAGAGGAGCTCAAGGTGTCACAGGTCCACATGCTCACACCTGGCCCCAGGGAGGATTAACAGTTCTGGGACAATGGAAGAAGGATGGAATTTAAAAGCAACTTAGCCGGGTGAACCAGTATAGAGCCGGTATCAAGTGAGGGAGGGTTCCTCTTTGATCTCTAAGCCCTTGAGCCACTGCATAAGAAACAATCAGAGTTATAAAGCACCAGCCTAAGTTACCATGTGAGACAGGCAGGCAGCTCTCCTGGGTCTTTCTGAATCCTACCCGGGCAGGGTTGAGTCCCTGCAGGAACAAAGGAGATACCATCACACACATGCATCTTAGGTGAGCGTCAAAGACATAGCTGCTCACATTTAGTGATTTCCCTTTGCACTCCACAACCTTCTATGCCCTGACCTTCCCATCTCCTCTGCACCTTAGAAATGAATCTTTTTATAAAGGCAGGCTCATTCGCATACAGAAAAGTACAGTATGTCTGCCAACCTAGAAGTAGCTGGGGTTCTGTCTTGAGCTGAACTAAAACATATCAGGTGATATCTGGAAAACTCATGGAAGCACAGGCCTCTTCCTAAGAGGGATGGCACCCTCTGCAAGACATCATGCCCTGTGAAAAGGAAGTCAGAAGGGCACACATGTATTGTGCCCTGAAAGTCTGTACAACATGCGTGTGGACCCTGGGGGTGTCATCACAAGTGCAAGGTGGACCTCAGTGACTGTCCTTATAGGGGACAGAGATAACAGAATCTCAAAGTCTCCCAACAGTGCTTCTGGAAAGACCCAGTGTGCTCCAGTAGAACCACAGTGGAGCCGAGGCCGAGTGGTGATGCACAGAAGTGGTGTCAGAAGGACACTGCAGCAGGGAGCTGATCTCTGGGGAGCTGAGCAGAAGTGGTGCGCAAGGTGCCCCAAGGAAGGCTCCAAGTGGTACAGGGGCAAAGGAGCCTTTCTAGAGTGGAAGGCGCCTCAGAGCCCCTAGAGGAAAGAGCTCCAATACAATACATTATTTTTCTTACCATAGACTCATTTATACTCAGAGGTTGATGATGCCTACAAGACAAGGAAGGGTCCTCGGTCACCAGGGAGATACAACTTAGGACCACAATGAAGTATCACTACTGGACTGAGAAAACTGAACCCCAAGCAAGAAGCGTCCCTGCTCACTCCGCAGCTGAACCAAGAACTGAACAGTCACAGGCTATTGTATTTCTCTCTTTCACACAGGCTGCCAGGACCTTTGGTGTCTCAGTCACTTCTTTGCTGCTGAGACCAAATACTAGATACCCACAACTTAAGGGGACAGGTTTCTGTTGGCTCACAGATTGCAGCGCTTTCAGCCCATAGTGCACTGGTTGCAGAAGAGGAAAGCATGGCACAGGGGAATGGTGGAGAAGAGCTACTCAGCTCAAATAGGAAGTAAAGAGAGAAGAGCCCAGAAAGGAGATAAGGCCTAGTGGGAAATGCCCACGGTGACCTGTTTCTTCCTGAAGACCCTGCTTCCTAAGATGAAGATGAAGCCAGCTGTGGCACCCCATAATCCAATCACCTTCCACAATCCTGCCTTTGAGCATATGAGACTCTGGGGAGACATCTACACAGAAACCCTAACCACTGGCAAGTGTCACAGAAAAGGCGTCTTAGCTTACGTGACAGTAGCATTCCACCAATATCTATTTCTCAGTTTGTACAACTGCACTGCAGTCACCTAAGACCTTAATGTGAAGGCAGGCTGGATGAAAGTTACATTGAAACTACTCTTTTGGTAATTTTTCAGTAAGACTAAAAGAATTTCAAAGAGTTTCTAAAGAACAGCGAGTTACAATATTAAACGCCCAATCTCCAATGTGGTTTAACAACTTGCATGACTCCAAGGGTTGGGAGGGATTCTGGTGAGCACTTTTGGTGACACTATGAATGGGACACTTGGACCAGGGATTTAGCTCAGTGGTGCCGCCGCCTGCCTCGCAATTCCAAGATACTGAGTTCAATCCCTGGTACAAAAAAAAAAAAAAAAAAAAATAGGCCTATGAATGGAATTCCCCCAAAACAGTGCCTTGATCCAGTACCCAATCACCTGGGCTCCAGAAGGGTCCTTGCTGAACTCCAGAAATACGGTCTTGGCAACTTGCTGAACTGTTTGGACCCTGACGTAGTTACTCCATCATATGCTTCCGGGCCAGGGAAGGCTCAGCCAGTTCTGCTTCCGGGTCACTGTGCCTTCAAGCGCCTGCGCAAGACCACAACTACGCAGAAACAATCTGTGGAGCCTCAGGAGCATTGAGCCAGCACCAGTGCAAGACAGGAAAGGTGGAGCAGAAACGTCTTCAGTGCGTGGCCGAGACCTGCCGAGTACACCTGTGATCTGGGTCTGGCACACCAAGCCCGTCCCTACTCTTGCAGAGCCCATCTCCAAGTCAAATATGACAGACTTGGCAGCGGGGCCTTCTAAGAGTATCCTGCACCAGTGCAGTCGCTCGGACCCTACCCTGTGCCCGTGCTGGCTTCTTCCTGCAGGAAGGAAACGAGAGGAGGTGGAAATAACCACTCATTTGAGCAGAGCTTGTGGTGACAGCCTAGAGGGGACGTGGCACAAAAGGCCGGTGGCCAAGCGCCCCTTGGGCTGTACACGCCTAGCTTCCTCCGCTAATGAAAGCGGAGCCTAAAAGGTTACTTTGTTTCCTGTTCTGTAAAGATGACAAAATCCTGTTTTGTAAATGGAAGTGCATGGGGGCACTGGAGAGAAGGGGTAGCCAAAGGAACTTTAAGATGGAGTTGGAAAATGCACTCTTGTCCTGCCGTGCCTGGAGTGTCAGGCAAAGGCAGGCTCATCCCTTTGTTTCCTTCGTGTTTTCCTTTAATCCACACTAACAGTCACAATCCAGGGTGAGAGGTGTAAACACAGAGCCAGAGCAGCTCGTAGAGAATTGGTTGTGTTCATGTGAAGTATGAAAAGCACCATTCATGTCGAGCAGCGGAGCCAAGATGCAGGGTAAAAGCTTGGCTCCTCCACTTGGAATGCGTGTCTAAAGCTTGTTTTCCATTCGGTGCCACAATTGCAAGGGCCAGAATGTTTTAGCAAGGTAAATGCATGTTCCGCATCTTGCAAAAAGCTCCTGAACATATGGCAGGCGAAAAACAAGCAAAATAAAGTATTTATTTGTTTTTAGAAAAATTTGAACACAGTTTATTTACCAATCATTAGGACAGTGGGAAATTAATTATACTAATTTGAATTGAGAGGTGGTAGTTTTCTGTGACATTTACAAAATATATTTCATGGAAATGGTGAAGCATACTTAGAATTACATGGAAAGGTGTTTTGTGATTAAATGTATTCAATTAGTTAAAATTAGTTAATCTTTCTGTTCTCCTATTACTAAATTAAGCAGACATTCCAGTTCTAAGCTGGGGTAGTCAATGGACCATTTAGTGACCATCTCCGTGGACAAAGGTGAAAGTAGCTCATATCAGCTTTCTCCTGAAAATATCAAGATATCCTTTGCCTTTACTATATTTCAGGAGGGAAGGATGCATTTTAAACCACAAGGGGGCAGCAGCACATTCTGAATCACATGCCTCTTTTCAAATTCAATATTAGGTTTTAAAAGTCATAGAGTAACAATTACATATTTTTTCCAAATAGGTCTTACTAGCTCTGGTGGTGTTTTGTGAGTAATTTCATTTTTAAACTGCCTGGACTACAGTTCTTTACAAATGAGACTATTTTAAAAGAAAAGCATAAGATCATTTTAATGAGTGAATTAAAATGCTTTGAAAAACTGGATATCAACCTGCCACAGATTAAAATTAGACCCTTATATTTCGCCATGCACTAAATTAAAATCCAAATGGATTAAAGATCTAAATATTAAAACAGAAACATTAAACTTGTTGGAAGGTAAGTTAGGCAGAACTCTGGAAGACATTGGTATAGGAAAAGACTTTATGAACAAATCCTCAGGAGCACGGGAACTAGCAGATAGAATCAACAACTGGGATCTCATCTTACTAAAAAGCGTCTGTACTTCAAAAGAAACCAGCAGAACTAAGAGACAATCTACAATGTGGGAAAAAATTTTTACCAGCTGTTCCTCAGAGGACTATTATCAAGGATATATAAAGAACTCAAAACAATCAGTCCCCCCAAATATAAAGACCCGATTCAAAAATGGGCATCCGAAACTGAGATTTCACCTCATTCCACAAAGAATGGCTGCTATCAAGAAATCACACAATAACAAATGTTGGTGGGGTTATGGGGAGAAAGTAATCCTCCATTGTTGGTGGGAGTGCAGACTAGTGCAACCACTATGGAAATCAATATGGTGATACCTCAAAGAGCTTGGACTGGAGATTCCATTTGACCCAGCCATCCCTCTGCTGGGTATCTTTCCAAGAGAACTAAAAGAATCATATCACAGAGAAGTATGTGCACCCATGTTTATAGCGGCACAGTTTGTAATAGGTAAATCTTGGAAACAGCCTATTTGCCCATCCGTTGGAAACTGGATAAAGAAGTTGTGGTTTTTCTATAAAATGGAATATTACTCAGCCATGAAGAACGAGAAAATAGATTCATTCATAGGAAAATGGATACATATTGAAGATATACTCCTAAGTGAAATAAATAAGTCATACATGTGTAAATACCGAATAGTTTCCCTGGTGTAAATAATCTGCAACAATGCATAAGATTCTAATAAGATTACTGACATTTAGAAATGGGAAGAAGGAGCTAAAGGTGTAGGGAAGGTGGGATGGGTAGGGGAAGAGTAAAAAGGGAAAAGGAAAAAATGTGAGAGAATGAAAAGATGAAAATAAAGTGTTTGTAGATGGGGAGGGGAGGAGGGGGTGAAGGGAGGGCAGAGGTAAGGGGAAAAAATGAGAATCAAGACATCATGTAGAGGTACAAGATCCCAACAATGAATGTAACTGTACTGTATCCCTAAAATGTACCAATAAACTCAATTAAAGCTGAAAAAAATAATAAAAAAATAAAATAAAATGCCTTGAGGCTAAATTTCTCAAATGTTAAGTTTCATTTTTAAAGATCACTGTATTATAATTATTAAAGAGACCTTTACAATACTATTGAAAAACAGTAAAGAAAAATAAGTATACTTGGCAAAGGATAAATTTGGTATAATTTTGTGGTTTCTGTATTATTAAAGTTAGACTTAAAATAAGGAAACTAGCAAGCATTATCTTACAATGCATAATTTTAATGTAAAAAGATTAGATATATTTCTGCTGCTTAATCTGTATTTTTAAATGGCGGTAACATTTCAGTGACTATTAGCCACCAGGTGGTGCTATCTAGTTAAACAATGAGGCCTAAAAGGAAAAATTGAAGATCCAAGAATCAATTGCACACAAATATAGACTGATTTTAATGTCTGTGAAGAAGGCCATTGAGGAAAAGAAATATTAGAAAAATTCAGGGATGGAAACTACACTGTCTGGAGCAGCTACTTTAGAAAACTACATGAAATGCATGAATTTCTTGTAATGGTGAAACAATCATGGATGCTGACCTTTTCACAAAAGAACAAAATAGCCTAGTCTAAAAAAAAAATCTCATCCCATAAAAGCTACTTATTTTTGTCCATGAAATTGTTCCTTTTTGTTTCTCAGGCAATGGAAAACAACTGTATTTTATTACGTTCCCTTTTGGTAAGGTAAAAAAATTCCTTAATAGAAATCAAATAGATCACAATCTGTTTTATATGTATATGCCAAAGTAATTACATGTACAGGAAAGCCAAATTTTACTGGTATTCACTCATGCACCAAAAACAGTTCCATTTAAATTTGGAGGGGATTAAATGCCTATAGATATCCTGTTATACATGAATGAATTATAAATATGTTGACCACTACCTAATAAGATGTATTGCACAGTGGTTACCTTTTATCTAGCTGACCAAAAGCTTTGTGCAATATGACGAATATGAACTCAGTTCTACTCGTTGATATAACTTTATCATACATTGTTGTCAAATTACTCCTAGGAAAGGAACAGCTAACATTTACTGAGTTTCATGATTGTACATTTTCCCCCCTTTAATCATCAAAACAACCATTTGAGATTTTACTGCCTCCATTCTCAGCTTTGAAAACAGAACGAGAGCTTGAATTCAGTTTTGATACTTAGAGCCATAATCTAAAACCAAGAGAGAGAGACCAAGTACCACTGATCGTAACTCCCACGCCTTTGGCAGAGGTTACTAAAGAACAGGGAGCTTCTCTGCGTCTGAACCCACTTGGAACTTCATGCTTTTCTGCTCATTTAGCCACTACTAATTAATAGTAGACAATTATGACGAAACCTATTTGCCATCCTAGCCTTTTCAATTTTGCTGCTCCTGAGAAACACTTCTCAAAATTTTGTAAAGTTTTATAAGTAGTTTTCAGATAAATGTTAACCTGTTGTTTTCGTCCGTGAGCCTGCTCATGGAACACGGTTCAGGGGGCCTGGCCTGGGAAGGCAAGAGGTGGAATCACCACACAGAGTATGGGGAACTTTCTGAAACCCTTCCGCTTTAGTCAGCAAATGCACAGGATTATATAGGGTAAGGAGGGGGTGGAGCCAGGGTGGCGCTACTGGATCTCTATTGGATAGGATAAGGTGGGGGTGGAGCCAGGGTGGAGTCGGGATATTTGGCACATCATTATTGGCCACAGGTTAGTTTTTGGATTGTATGCTTTAGGGGCTGAGGCAAATGAAGTCAGGACTTTGGAGGTTTTTGAGAGGAACAGTTTATCTGTCTAAGGTCAGATCTCTACACACCCGAGGGGGCAGATTATTCCAGCCCTAATAGGCCTCGGAGTTTTCTCACGAGAGATGGGTGTGGCACTCTTGACTCAGTCAGACGTTAACCTGATCCTCAGTTCCCCTTTTGTCTTTGACTCCTAAGCCTCAGCCTAAAGGACCACACTTTTATGATTTTTGTTACTGGCACATCTGATCTTTAAAGAACAATAACAATATGCCAAACAAGGTTAATACATATGGGGATCCCAACATCAATCCACGTATCCAACTACTCAAATGATTCCATCCAGCCTGAATTTTTGACCAAATGGTAGCCCACACATTATTTAAAGTTACAGCATCTAACTCCTTGACCAGCTGGGCGACAGGATCCACGGTGGGAGGCGGGGAAAG